TTTCCTAGGTTAATCGGTATTTGAGTTCTGACCGTTACAGGTAGTTGAGGAAAGAGTGAACCAGCGAGGTCTGAAATTCCCCAGACATTTCATTTCCTCGTCGGTATTACTTGCTTGTTCCTCTGCTCTGACTCTACTTACTTCTTTTTTGTGCCCCTTGTGCTCCGTCACCTACTTTCTCTGCAGGGTGATAAGGCCCTGAGGACTTAGATTTTCTCGGTTTACATTGCTTCCCCACACTGCTAGCAATGTTTGCGATCCCATTACCCGCATCATCGCCCATGTGGACTTTTCAGAACTTTGAAGCGCGTGATTGTTCTTCTCTGTTAGTGGGTGCGGTTCCCCAGAAGAAGATCAGCCAGCAGGTCAGTGATGTATGAAGGTCATGCTGACTAGTAATCGTTACTGGGTGTATGTTAGTACGTTGGTTAGGCTGAGATTAATTGCCAGCCTTCTCTGGCTAACTTGTCAAAAGCATTTGGATACTAAACAGGAAAACTTTAAAAAAAATTTATCTAATTCATTTGCATTGATATTTAAAGCTTGTCAAAATCATGTCTTAATGATTCTAGATTGTATATAAATAATGTGTCCCAGATTACTGAAACATACATGTTACGATTTTACCTTTAATTGTGCTTCTTTGTATGTATTATGTGTATGAGGTTCTTTTGACTTCAAAAGGAACTGCCGAAGGCCGGCTTTGATATGTCTTTGGCTTTTCATAAGCTTTATATTCTGATAGAAAACATTACACAGGCTATAAATGGGCTCTCCAAAGTGTTCCTTTCTTCCTTAACAGCAGTCAGAATAGGTTGCTGAACTTGGGTGTTGATAAGGCCAAATTCTAGGGAGAAGTCTTGCTATAGTTTGAATAAGAAGACACACACACACACACACACAGACACACATGCACGCTGCTTTTTCAGTGTCAGTGTCGACTTGCAGGCGTGTGCGAGTTCAGTGGTTTGCCCGTCTGTGATCATTTCTCCTGGAATGACAGCTTAACAGTTTTCCTGGTTGGATTGTGTTAAAATCTTTAAAGGCTACGTTCACTAAAACATATGTCTAACATTTGGGCAGCCAGAGCCTGCTCCGTCATTTTAACGGAGTGTAACTTAGCAGCTCTTTTATTATGGCAGATATCTTGCTGTT